GAACTACACAAATTCTGGCCTGAGGAATCCGTTTCTCCTGGATTTCAAGCAAATGGGTCTGTACACTCCAATAGGGCCTCCCAGGTAAGGGGTGGGCTGCATTCCTCCCACCCCCAATACCCTCTGATTCCCACCCATTTCTCTTCCACCCTCCAGGTCAGTGGCCCTGGGTTCCCTGTGGACACTAGTAGTCCTTTCTGCACCTGCACACCTTCTCTGTTCTCTGTCTTTGAGATGCATGCCATTTCATCTTCTACCCTCAACTCTCTTTCGACTTTTACCACCTCCAGGAATGGAAGATTTAAATCACCCTTGTTATATTGTAAAGGGTGGGAAGACTCCAGCTGACCCTAGGGTGCATGCAGAAAAGAGACCAAACAATTTTTTTTTTGGAGACAGAGTCTCACTCTGTTGCCCAGGCTGGAGTGTGGGGGTACGATCTCAGCTCACTGCAACCTCCGTCTTCCAGGTTCAATCAATCCTCCCACCTCTGCCTCCTGAGTAGCTGGGATTACAGGCATCCACCACCATACCCGGCTTTTTTTTTTTTTTTTTTGTATTTTTAGTAGAGATGGGGTTTCACCATGTTGGCCAGGCAGGTCTCGAACTCCTGACCTCAAGAGCCACTATGCTTGGCTGACTAAACACTTTTCTATTTCTATATTTTTTTCTTTAGCTCAAAAAAGTTTGTTGGGGGTGGGTAGTATGCTACAGAGGAGATGCTTTTGAAGAGAAAAACATCACAACTCTGAAAATTCTGGTGAAGGACAGAAAGCTCAGGAAACAGGCTCCCGAGAAGGTAGCCAGGGTGCTAGAGCACACATGACCTGCTCTTTGCAGTTTCTGAGCCCTCTCTGCCGGCATCACTGTGTGCTCCTCCCGGACATGGGAAGTGGCTATTATTGGAACACCCACTTGCGTTGATGGGGGAAACAAAAGTAGGTATTATAATTCCCACCCCATAGAAGAGGAGCCAGGGTTCGGAGAGGTTAGATACTACTGATGATAAAACAACGACAATAGCTACCATTGGCTGAGAGCTAATTACGTGCAGGCTCTGGGGGAAGTGCATTGGAGACATCTTCTCATTGACTCCCTTAGCCATCTGGCAACGTAGACACAATCGCCCCCATTTGATGGAAACTCAGAGACGTTAAGAAACAAGTCCACATTTAGGAAGTGGCAGGGCTGAGCTCTCAAGAGCACCCATTCCAATTCCAGGACAGGGATGGGGCAGCCAAGAGTCATCTGGGGCCATCTCCTCATCTCTGAAGAACAGACATGACCAAGGGCAGAGCTCTGGCTTGCTTTCTTTTACCTGGAGTTAGATTTAGGACTTATAGGACCCATAGATGAAAGTGACAGAGAGGCAGTTTTTAGTCCAGCCCCCAAAAACATTTTAGATGAGACTTTCCTTAGAAATAAGAGACACACAAGGAGTTCAAAATCTGGATGAAACTTCTACCTGGAATGCTATAGAAGAGACTCCTTCTGTGCCTGGGACAGACAGGGCTTGGTCTCAGAGCTGGAAGACCATATCCCAGCACTGCCAACGACCTATTCACGTCATGACCTTGAGCCGACTACTTGACCTCTCTGAGCCACAGTTTCCACATTTGTAAAAATGGGAAAGTAAGGCCTTTCCAGAAAGATGGTCGTGTGGATTTTGAAATATGAAATAACAGGTGCAAAAGCACTCCTGGCTTGGCCCAGGGTTGGCATCCAGTAAATACAGGCTGAATCTGAATCTAAGCCAGGCGGGGGCTGGGATCAGAGGACAGTGACAGTCCCTTGCCACTCCAAGTGTCTATGACTTTCGTCACCACACTGGCCATGGGCCCTGCTTATTGTATTTGCCACAGGTAGCCAAATGCCCAGGTGAGGATGTGCTCACAGGGCCGAGAAGAGATCTGCTAAGAGTTTTCAGTTTCACTTTGGCACACCATGTCCTTGGTTCAACTTCTTTTTGGAGAGGAGTGTGGAGAGAGGAGGGGAAATCTTATGATCTGTCTGAAGTGGAAAGAAAGCTCTTATCTCATTTCCTTCTCAGAGCTACATGTGATGGTGTGACTCGGCCGTGGATGGGTTGGGGAGAGTAACGGGAACTGACAGAGGCCTGGGCCACGTTCTCTAGTCCTCTTCCCACACAGGCGTCCAGAGAAGGGGAACTGGGCCCTCTTTGCCAAAATAAACTTGCATTGTTTCCAGCTCCATGAGTGGCCTCTAGTGAAGCCTTTGCCAAACCCTAAAAGGGAGGAAGTGGGGGAGGGGGCCCGGGATCGGGGAATGCACCCACCACCCCTCTTTCTCCTGACTTTCCAAAAACTCCATGTGGGCAAGCTCTAAAGTAAATCTCAGATAGCACTATGAAAATCTGGGCTTTTAGGGGAGAAAGAAAGAACAGGAACTCCCATTGGTTGAGGGTCTACTATGTGTAGGTACTTTGCTCATTAAGAGTCATGTTGGTGGGCGGGAGGCACATGTGGGTTCAACCCACATGTGGGTTCAAATTCTGACCCTGGCCCCATTTGCTAACCATATGACCTGGGCAGCAAAGAACTCTGAGCTTCCATTTCCTCGCAGGTAAAATGCTGCTGTTATGTAACAGCAGTACTTTGGAGAGGTGCGGTGAAGGTTAAGTCACGGATGTAAAGTTCTCAGCATAGTGCAGGGCATATAAAGGCACTCAATATACGTGAGTTATTATTGCTGTTATACAGCTGCTACTACTAATAATAACATTTTAAAACTTTCATGAAAATGCTAAGAGGTAAATATTCTTCAATAAACATGACAGATATGGGCACAGGGGGCTCAAGAGAGGCTGAGAACTTTTTCAGGGTCTGACGGTTCATGAGCAGGAGGCTCAGGATTCAAACTCAGGTCTGCCCGGCTTGAGGGCCCATTTGTGTTGCACCTGCATCTGAAATGAGGGCTGACTGGGGTTTCTGATACAGACGCCAAGTTGCTCTGAGGCTGGAAAACGGCAGAAACAGAGACCACGGGCATCGCTTTCATGGCCCAGCTGCTCCCCAGACTTCATGTGCTCAGCTAGTATCCAGCTGGGCCTGGCTGACCACCAAAGCCGAGGGTCCTCCTTGCCAGGCCTCAGGGCTCCTCTGTCTTTCAGCTTCCATCTGGAGCCAGCGTCTGCAGTGTGGGCCCCGTCTGCACCACTGGACCCCAGGCCCGGCGCAGCTGGCCTCCTGCTCCTGCACAGACAGCTTGTTGGAGCTGAGCCAAAGCAGCCTGGGATTGAAATCCTAGCTCTGTCCCTCACTAGCTTGGTGATGCTGGGCATGTTACTCTCTCTCAGCCTCAGTTTTTCTCATCTGTAACTCTGGAGCAATGATACTTAGTGAGAATTACAGGAGACAATGAAAATGGTAAGTGCTCTGAAGGTGTTAGCTCTTCCTCCTCCCGTTCCCTGCCTCTGGAAATGGGTGCTCCTGGCTCTCCTGCTCACTCAGGGTCATAAGGCTGTGGAGCCCCAGGCCGGGACCTATTTTTCATCCTGATATGTACTCTCTGCATGTCATCCTTAATGAAAAACGAATAACTCATGTGTTCATTTCATTAAATGCTGCCCCCACAAAAGTGTGGGCTTGTGCAATTCTCCAAAGACTGTCAGCTGGAAGATATCTCAGAATTCCTCGTAAATCAAAAGGTTTCATTTTGCTGCCAAGACAGTCAACTCTCTGCCTGAATAAGGCGGTGGGCGGTGCTGGGCTGGGATGGAGTCGGAGACTTGCCTGCTTGTCCGGGCTCTGCCAATTACCCACACAGGAAGGGAGCAGACTGCTTGTGACTCTGGCAGAAGAATGGGTGGCGTGGGGTGCTGGGTCCTACAGGGTCCTTCCTTCTCCTCCAGTTCTAAAATTCTAGACTTTGAGCTTCCTTTCTCCCTCTGCCTCTCCCAGCCCCCTCCCACTATCCTTCTCCCCCTCTGCTCCACCATCCTGGCATCTTCACTCAATCAGGTCAAATCAGCTCAGGGCAGAGTCTGCAGAGAAAAAGCATCTATGCCTTCCTGGTAGAGGATGATCTTCTAATGCCCCTTAGCGTAAAAGCTGCCCTCCTTAGGAGTGAAAAGAAGGGCAGCCAAAGTCTGTGTTTCTATTGTGGGGTCCAGGAAGAGCAGGGCATTTGCTCATGGAGCTAAGGATGGATAAATTTAGAAGTAAAAAGAGGGTTCCCCTCCTGCCTCCAGCTTTGGAAAGGGCTCCCAAGCCAGCCCAAAGGGGCTTTGTGGTCACCTAGTGGAGCAGGTTCTGGACCACCCAGGGGGGTCTGCACTTTGTGGGTGGCAGTGGGGTGGGGAGTGCACAGGGTGAAGGTCCCAGAGGAAATTGGGCCTCCTAAAAAAACACAATCAGAGCTGGTCTCTTGGGGAGGGGAGATGAGGGTTACGGAAATGTTCAATGTCTTTAACCCCGGGGTGTCTGACTGAGAGCAGGAGATAGACATCTCTTCTATATGTGGTATAAACAGAGACTACAGCGTATTTAATGATTTAGTGAAAGATTGCTTCTGAGTGCAGATGTTGGGAAAGAGAAGGAGACAAAAGAATGACAAGGACAGAAACAGAGACAGGCTGAGGGGACAAAGAGAGAAGTGAGGGGCCAAGGGGAAGGAAGGGAAAAGGGGACAAGAGGAAGAGAGAAAGGAGAAGAAGGAGGAAAAGGGGAGGGAGAAAAGCAGGTGAGAAGAAACAAAAACAGAGGAAAAAGAGTGAGGAAGGACAGTGTTTCCCAACACGTGTCATCCGAGTGCCGCCCTCCTTGACAAGGGGGTGGGAGGTGTGTCGAGCAGCCAGCCTGCAGGCTTAGCAACATCTCCACACCTAACTTTGTGGTCGTTGCTATGCCTGCCGCTCCAGTGCCTCCCCAGCAAAGCTGGGCTCAGAATCCACCCATCGACAACTCCAGGAACACTACCTAAAAAAACAAAGAGAACAGGTACCCTGGAGCTGTACAGGAGGTGGTACCCCCTGTGTGGCTGACAAATGCCAACAGCATAATAAGATGGGGACTTAACGAAGCACTCAAAATACGGAATGCGTTGTCCCATTCACTAAATCATTAAATATGCTGTAGTCTCTGTTTATACCACACCAGCACTTTGATGTTTATAAAACCACTCCATTCACCACGGGAGATTTAAAAAAAAATCCCTTCACTAATTCTGAAAATAAAACCCCTGGCCAGGCATGGTGGCTGACACCTGTAATCCCAAGCATTTTGGGAGGTTGAGGCGGGCGGACCACCTGAAGTTGGGAGTTTGAGACCAGCCTGACAGACATGGAGAAACCCCGTCTCTACTAAAAATACAAAATTAGCCAGGCATGGTGGCACACACCTGTAATCCCAGCTACTCAGTAGGCTGAGGCAGGAGAATCGCTTGAACCCAGGAGGTGGTGGTTGTGGTGAGCCGAGATCATGCCACTGCACTCCAGCCTGGGAGACACAGTGAGACTCTGTCTCAAAATAAAATAAAACAAAACTCCCTAAGGTGTCTGTCCATCCGTCTACTTGTCCATCCATTCATCTGGAGTCCATCCTTTCAGTGACCTTTTAATTGAGAAGCTACAGCGTTAGGCACTCTGCTTTACTGGTACAAGCATGAAAACTTCCCAGGCCTTGCCCCTGGGGGCTCATTCTCTGCTGGGGAAACACACTTAAGTAATTTATTATATACATAATTACAAGTAAAGTCATGAATAAATCAATTTGTCATATTCAGCATTCTGGGTAGAATAATAACTGTATTAAAATTGTTATCTGGGAAAAACAAGACAATGCAAAACAAACCATTACAGGTTATCTGTGACATAGTCCCCTATCCTTCAGCAGCAGATGCCCTGCTCTCTCCATCTCTCAACTGTGCCCTGATCTCTTGCTTGGCTAGTGTGCCCTGAGTTCAGAACCTGCATCTACGGTTTTATTTCCTCTTTTTATTTAAAAAATAAAACCATTTTAAATGTGTAAAACATATGCATCGTTTAAAGTAGAACTATAAAGCAAACATTAGCTGGGCATGGCGGCTCCCGCCTGTAATCCCGGTACTCTGGGAGGTCAAGCAGCAGGATCACTTGAGCCCAGTAAGTTCATAACCAACCTGCGCAACATAGCAAGAACCCATCTCTACAAAACATAAAAAAATTAGCTGGGCATGATGGCATGTGCTGGTGATACCAGCTACTCGGGAGGTTGAGGCTGGAGGATCACTTGAGCCCAGCAGTTGGAGGCTGCAGTGAACCATGATCATGCCACTCCAGCTTAGGCAACAGAGCAAAGCCCTGTCTCTAAAATAATAAATAAATAAATAAATAAGGCAATTTTTTTGACCACCCATGAGATAAATAAATCGACTAGAACATCACTAGTACCTGTGAAGTTCCTCACTACCAACATCACAGATCCTTCCCCAGTCAAATCTCCCTTCTTTCCTTCAGAGGTAACACTATCCTAACTTTTCTGTGAATCAGAAAATGTCTGATTGAACCTTGCTTTTTTTATGGTTTTACCATTTATGCATGCACCCTAAACAGTATTAGAGTGAATAATAAACGCCATTTGTAAGAGAAAAGTAGCTGAATCTCTGCAATTTCATACAGCTTGATATAGTTTAACCCACTAGTTTAGTTATTTTTCAAACTTGGGAATAAATATACTGTGTGCATTCTTTTATCATTCGCTTCACTTGGTCAGCATAGCTACAGTTTCATTGTATATATTTTCACTGATGAGATTTCATATATCATACAAGCTCACAGTTTATGCATTTTATGGTTGATGGACGTTTGAGTTGTTCCCGGTGTTAGGTCCTCACCAATGTTGTTGCTGGAAGTTTTCTTGTCTCTGGCGCACACATGCATGGGTTGCCCTAGGGTGTTTAGCAATAAAGTTGCTGGATGACATGGTCTTTACCATTACTAGATCAAGTCTGGTTGGTTTCCACATTGGCGGTACCAAGTTATACTCCCAGAGGCATCTGCATCCTTGTCATCTCTTGGTATTACAGACTTAATTTTTCCAATCTGGGGGATACAAAATGGTATCTTATTGTGGTTTAAATTTTTATTTCCCAGATTATTAATGAAGTTGAGCTGTTTTTTTGTTTCTTACCTATTTGGATTTCCACTTTTCAGACTTGTCTGTTCAAGTCTGTTACCTTTGAAAAACTGGTTTTTTCCCTTGATTTTTAGTTTTTTCTATGTTCTTCATTGGTTATGTGTAGTTCCAGTTTGTGGTTTGTTTTCATCTCTCTATCTCTCCCCTTTTTTTTTTTTTTTTTTGAGATGGAGTTTCGCTCTTGTTACCCAGGCTGGAGGGCAATGGCGCGATCTCGGCTCACCACAACCTCCGCCTCCTGGGTTCAGGCAATTCTCCTGCCTCAGCCTCCTGAGTAGCTGGGATTACTGGCATGTACCACCGTGCCCAGCTAATTTTTTTGTATTTTTAGTAGAGACGGGGTTTCACCATGTTGACCAGGATGGTTGGTCTCAATCTTTTGACCTCATGATCCACCTGCCTCGGCCTCCCAAAGTGCTGGGATTACAGGCTTGAGCCACTGTGCCCGGCCTGTTTTAATCTCTTTATAGTCCCTCCTCAGTCTTCTCTCTCTCACAAAGTTATTTATGATAAAATTCCAAACATATCCAAAAGTAGATAGAATAATATGATCAATCTCCTTGTACCTATCACTCAGCTTCAACAATCATAATTCCATGGACAATCTTGTTTCACTTACACCTTTTTAGCTTCTGCTCCTCTAGCTTCATTTTTAAGCAAATCTAAAACACTATTCATCATAAAATTTTGAGGATTTATCTCAAAATTTATCTCTCTTCATAACATAACCACAATACCAGTATGACACCTAACAATATTTTCAACAATTTAATATCACCAACTTTTATAATAACTTTTGATAAACAGAGGTGCTTAATTTTAATGCCAATCTACTTCATGGACCTATTTATTTATTATTTGATTGTTTGAGATGGAGTTTTGCTCTTGCTACCCAGCCTGGAAGCACAATGGCATAATCTCAGCTCACTGCAACCTCCACCTCCTGGGTCGAAGCAATTCTCCTGCCTCAGCCTCCCGAGTAGCTGCGATTACAGGTGTGTGCAACCAGGCCTGGCTAATTTTTGTATTTTTAGTAGAGACAGGGTTTCACTATGTTGGTCATGCTGGTCTCAAACTCCTGACCCCAGGTAATCCACCCAACTCGGCCTCCCAAAGTGCTGAGATTACAGGTGTGAGCCATCGTGCCCAGCTAATTCCTTACTTTTATATCTCATTTAAGAACTCTTGCTCTGAGACCACAAAAGTATTTGCTTCGCTCCTTTTTTTAAAAGGTTTATAGTTTTACTTTTCAATTTAGCTCTTTATTCCAAATGAAAGAGATTTTAGTATGTGGTGTGAAGTAGAGACTCATTTTTTCCCCTTTAGCTCTTTTTTCCCTCCAGTATCATTTCTTAAAAAGTCTTTTTCCCACTGCCCTATAATCTCCCATCAGTCATATATCAAGTATCCATATATGTGTGAGTCTGTTCATGTCTCTCTCTTCTGTTTTATTCATCTATTTCTCTATGGCTATGCTAATGTCACACTCTTAATTACTATGGCTTTATAATAAGTCATGATACCTGGTAGGGCAATTCCATCACCTGTTCTTATAATTATTGCACTTTCATATGAACTTTACAATAAGCTTACCAAGTTCTACATGCAAAAAATGTGTTGGGATTTTGATTGTGATGCATTGAATCTACATAGAAAGTTGGGAAAAATGGCATATTTACAATATAGACTCATTCATCCATAAATATAGTATGTCTGCATTTATTAGTGCATTCTTTAATGTCTCTCAATAAAGTTCAATATTTTATACAAAATCAGCACACATTTTGTTGGACTTATTCATAAATACTTCACTTGTGTTGCAAATGTAAATGATCACTTTAAAATTTTTTATTTTCTCAATGTTTATTGCCCATCTGTTGAAATAAACTTGTGATTTGCATGTTAATTTTATACCCAGCAATCATGCTAAACTCTTTTACTTGGTCTAATAACTTGGGATTTTCTATTTAAACAATAATATTGTCTGTACATATTTAACAGTTTGTCTCATCTTCCCCAAACTTAAGTCCCTTTCTCTCTTTCTCTTCCTTCCTTCCTTCCTCCTTCCCTTTCTTTCTCTTTCTCTTTCTTCTTTCTCTCCTCTCTCTCTTTTTCTCTATCTTTTCTCCTTCCTTTCTTCCTTCCCTCCTTCCTTCCTTCCTTCCCTTCCTTCCTTCTTTCCTTTCTTCTCTCTCTCTTTTCTTTCAACAGAGTCTCACTCTGTCATCCAGGCTGGAGTGCAGTGGAATGATCTTTGCTCACTGCTACCTCCGTCTCCCAGGTTCAAGCAATTCTTCTGCCTCAGTCCCCTGAGTAGTTGGGATTACAGGTGCATGCCACCATACCTAATTTTTGTATTTTTAGTAGAGATAGGGTCTCATCACGTTGGCCAGGCTGGTCTTGAACTCCTGACCTCAGATGATCCACCCACCTTGGCCTCCAAAGTGCTAGGATTAAAGGCATGAGTCACCGTGCCTGGCCCTTTTTCTTCTTTGTTGAAATGGATAGGATTCCTAGTATAACATTAATGTAAGTAGTGATAGTGACCGTCCATTTTTCTTTTCTCCATCTCAAAGGCAGTGGTTGGAAAGATGATCTCTTTCCAATGCAAAAGTCTTGATTTTCCTTGTAATCATCTTCTTTCTGGCTCAAGCAACTACTCACAGCCTTCTAGAGTGAGACTAAGAATCATAATTTATATCCAGACTTTATGTTTTTGAGACAAGTCTGGCTCTACTGCCTGGGCTGTAGTGCACTGGCACAATCTCAGCTCACTGCAACCTCTACCTCCCCAGCTCAAGCCTTCCTGCCACCTCAGCCTCCCGAGTAGCTGGGACTACAGGCATAGACCACCATGCCTGGCTAATTTTTGTATTTTTCGTACAGACAAGGTTTCACCATGTTGCCCAAGCTGGTTTCAAACTCGTGGGTTCAAGTGATCTTCCCATCTCAGCCTCCCAAAGTGTTGGGATTATGGGCATGAACCACCTAGCCATATCCAGACTTCTGATAGTTGCATCTCTGTAGCTTGAGTGTAGAAGATCCTGGAGTCTGATCTCTGCTCCAATAATCCGTATTTGTTGAGTCATTTCCTCTCAAAACCCCATTCCTCCTCAAACTCTCAAGCCATTTCTGGTTCATATTTTGAATCATGACTAATCGTCAAAAAAACTGTGATGGCCAATAGTTGGCTGTGCCCATATCCCTTTTTGAAATTCTCTCTGCCCTCCTCCAGGGTGAGAGAGATGGACCGTGCCTTTGCCCCCACCTCCTAGCTCTGGCTGAAAGAAGTGACACATGCTATGCTATGCTATGCTATGCTATGCTATGCTATGCTATGCTATGCTATGCTATGCTATGCTATGCTATGCTATGCTATGCTACGCTACGCTATGCTACACTATGCTATGCTATTGATCTGGGGTGTCTAAGCTGCATCCAGATGGGAGAACACCAGATATAGCACAACTAGATTCTCCAGGATCAGCCCCTTTCCCCAGAAAAGTGCCTAATGCTCTGGCCTACTTTTATGGAGGGTTAATAGAACAAGCAGCTATTGGAAGAAGGTTTGCCATGTAAGTATTGGAGATGGTGTTCGTGTTGTTCAACATTCCCTACACAAGGACACATAGATGATATTATGTTTGGAATTAAGTGTCGGTCTAGTTAGTCTCTCCTGTTGAACTAACATGTGTCTGCAATGGGGTTGATACTTTCTGGAATTATTTTTAGATAAATTTTCATATCCTGTAAACATTGTTCTGTAGGTTCTTGTACATTGGAGTAATGTTTGAGTCTCAGATGGAAAGCTAGATGTTGAGAGAGAAAACGTTTACTAAATTCTTTTGACTCTCACTTAGCACATCAGGAGGTAGGTCTGGCTGATTACATTTTAGAAGATGATGAAGGAAAGCATATCCCTTCTATCCTCATAGATTGTGGAAGGGGAAGGAGAATAGAGAGAGAACAGGTAGCTCAGGAGCCAGAGCTCTTCTCTGCCTCTACCGTTATTATCTTCCCCACCGATGTGTCAGGGGACAACCTGGCAAGTTGGGAGTTTTTTTTTTTTTTTTTTTGAGATTGCTGTGATTTTTTTAATTCAATTTGACATCTTGATTAGAATGAAACTAGTAAGAATGAAGCTTTACAAACATTGCAGTATTACTGTATCATTGTGATATGGCTTTACATCGATTATATGTAGAGAACAAAATAACATTAGAATTAAGGCAATAACAACATGTGCAAACCAAGCACATTACCCTGATATGGTCCCTGATAGAAAGCTCTTTTGGTTAGCTGATGGTTGATATTGCTGCATGCAGGTCATTGCTCTGAAGGATAAGCTGTGAATAGCTTCATTCATTAAAAAAATAAATCTCTCCTACTGCCCACAATAGCCAGAAAAAGTGTCCGGTAATCTCCACTCGTGTCACCTGCAATCATTGTGCCCAGGGTCTTCTGATACATCTGAGCGAACACTTGTTTTATTTGTACAAGATCGATTTCACTTCGAGTTACCACAGTCCTGAACAGGGTGGAGTCATCTGTGCCAGCACCTTTCATAGTGTAGTAGAGCCTCTCAGCAAAGAAGACAGGGCGGTTCAGGGCACTGTAAGATGGTCTTCAAACCACTCTCCACATATCCAGAAAACTCATGGCTCACACTGCTTAACAAATCTCGATTAGCCATCCTGGAATAAGCCTCCATGGTAGCTCTCAGCTGAGGAAAGCTTCTCGTGGCAAGGATCATGTTAAAGCAAGATTCATCGGTCCCTAGTCTCCCCTCACCAGCTTGATAGAGACGCTGAGCATCTTCCTGAGGCATTTGGTGGTTTACACTGTGGTTTTCATCAAGATTTCCTTGGCACATGGACACAAGTATGCATTCAAAATGTCCTGATGTATCTGACCTAATGTCCTTTTCAAGGTCTCGTCCAAATTCTGACTGATAACATTTGATGATTTCTTAGATTTCCTGATTTGTTCTTGTGCACAAAATTTCAATCAATACACGTTCCTGAGTTCCTGCATTGCTTTTCGTAAGCTCCAGGCATCATAATATGTAGGAGTCATGAATAGGGCCAGGATCAGTTCTTCCATATTTCCACTTAATTCTAATTTGAGATCTTTGATCAAATCCTTGCCATACGAGGTCTTTAATGCTGCTTTAATTTTTTGCCTCTGATCATTGGAACAGTTGGCCACCACATCCACAATTGCCTGCTCGTCTGTCCCAAAACGCTTCATTGCCTTATGGAGAATTTCTGTATCTCTCATAGCGTTGAAGTTGGCAGCTGGTTGGATAGTTACTTGAGTGCCCTGAGTCATTGTGGCAGGCCGACTAGGGTAAGTAGGCTGTCCTCCAGGATACTGAGAAGGCATCTGTCCTCCAGGAAAACCACCAGGTAGTGGGACCTGTGCTGGACCACCTCCATAAGACTGTGAAGGTGGCTGTGGATAGCCAGAAAAGTCTGCTCCACCTGGTGGGACTCCAAATCCATGGCCTGGAGAAACTCCAGGATAGGATGGAGCTCCCCCTGGCTGTGGGGCACCAGGATAGCCTCCAGGGGCTGGATAACCTCCAGGTGCAGGGTTGCCTCCAGCTCCTGGATAGCCACTACTTGGCACTTGTGGGTAGGCACCTCCCCACATTGGAGGAAAGCCACTAGGATAAGGATACTGACCAGAAGGGGGAAAAGATGACTCCTGACCTGCAGGAGGATATCCAGGGAAAGGTGCGTAGCCTGTTGGGGGATAGCCTGTATGACATTCTGACCCGGGCAGCAGCATCACAGCCAAACCTGGTCATCTGCCAAGTTTGGAGTTTTTAAAGCAAGCAGATGTCTGAAGGCCACAGGGAGTGTCTGGAATAGACACCCTTCTCCAGGAACACTGGGTCCAGGAGAAGCACCCATACGAAGACGTGGAGGTAGTGCAGGAAGTAGGAGGTAGGGGAGTCTGAGACAGCACCTGAGCAGGTGTTGAGAAAGCCAGCAGAAATGCAGAGGCCTGGTGACAGGACTGAGTGACCACTAGGACAGCTGGCAGGGATCATGGGCTCTAGTGACAGCTCCTGGAACAGCACCCCAGAAAGCAAGATGGGGCCATCCCATCACAGCGGTCATGAGCTCAGGAAGCAGGAGGTGAAGATCCAGGTGATGCCACAGGAACCCAAGGGCCTCCCTTCTGGGCTGTGCAAGGCTCTGGTCGTAAATGTCTGCCACACTGGGATTCAGCAGCCAGAGAGAGCAGTCTTCAGAAGGTTGACATTTACCTGAGTCAGTCAAGTTACCTATGAAAAACAATTTTGATTACTAGATCAAGCTTGACATTTACCAAATTGGATAAAATTTAGGATTTTACCCTCCTGCTTCCCAGTGGAACTGATAAGAAAGAAGACATTCATTATAAAGAAAATTTTAGCCAGATGTAGTGGCACATGCTACTTGGGAATGTGAGCTACTCGGGAGGCTGAGGCAGGCAGATCGCTTGAACCCAGGAGTCCAGCCTGGGCAACACAGCAAGACACCCATCTCTAAAAAAAAAAGAAGAAAGAAAATTGTAAAAGTTACATTTTCCCCATCGTTGCATCGCATTGCATTTTCCCCATCACTGCATTGCAGAGGAAATGTTTCCTCCCTACACCTCACTACACATCCTTTCTATGAAACTTAGAATTATTGATCTCACTGTGGTCTCTGTTTAGCTGCAGAGCTGACTCGAATGTTACACTCAATGACAACAAATGTTCTTGCACAAGTGAGGAAAGGGCACAAGACTTGGAGTTAGGTAGACCTGAGTGTGTGGCCTGGGCCGCATTATGACTTCTGCAGACTCCAGGCACTTTTATACCTGCAGACTTCTTCTTCCACAACAAAATGAAATACATTTTACAATTGTGTGGGCATAAAGACAAGTCTATTAATATCATATGTTAAAACATTTTCTTCAACCTAAAGGTTCTTTTCTCTTCTTCTGATTTTAAAAGAAATTTTAAAACATTTTAGTGGTCCCCGAAAGGTATCCTGGGCTCTGAGCCTGTTGGTGAGTTCTGCCCTGCTTGCACCTTTGCCTGGTCCCAGCATGCCTCTCATCTTCCTCATCTGTAAAATGGGGCTGTTGGACTCAATGATGGAATGCATTCAAGGACTTTGCACCTGGGTAAATAAATGTGGTTTTCCTTTCTTCATCTCCATGGATTTGATTTTCTATTTCTATTTTCGTGATCTTGCTGCATATGTGGTTTTCACTGTGAGTCACCTTCAAAATTCTCTTTGGAAGTAGGTGGGGTATAAATTAGAAATAAAAATTCCTTTTTACTTCCTCAGCACTTAGCACAATGCTGAGCTTTATATTCCCAATCCTTGTTTGTTGACTGTGCCGGTAAATGGCTCCCTCCCGGCCAACCTCCGCCCACCACCCTGTCCCACCCGGCCTGGCTGTTCTTAGAGGAGGCATCCTTTCTTTCGTTCTTTGGCCTCTTCTCTCTCCCTCTGAATTCTTTCCTTAGTGGCCTGTGCTCAGCTGGCTGTCAGAGTGAGGAAGGTGCCTGCTAAATGTCACATGGTGAGCTGGGTAATCTTCCCACAGACCCACTGGGCAGGGTGTGCACCCTGCTCCACCCAGGAGGACCCTGTGGCTCAGCAAGGAATTGCCTACCTACGTGGTGGGACCAGGATTTGAACCCTGGCCTCTCTGGCCAGGTGGTGGCATGGTGTGTTAAGCCTCCACGGTTTGCAGTTTCTAGCGGTCTGAAATTTCTTGGCACTGCTCAAATAAAACCCTACTGGAAACGATGGAGGTCCCCTTAGCTGTGTGCTCAGCTTTGTCATCATCACTCAGGCCCCACCATTCACCCAGCTGGAAGCTAGTGCTGAAACTCTCTTCCTAAATGTTAGAGGGGAGCAGTGCCATAAGCAAGAGGGGAGAAACTAGAAGCCACAAAGCTCACACTGGAGATTCAATGGTGTGTCCATCAAGAGGGTGGCCACCAACACATTTCCTTTATTAGCCAGACTTCAGAGTGCTCGGCTCCAGGACTTTAAGACAGCACCAGAGTATTCAATGAGCTGGTGTGTGTGAGGCGCTTACAACAGCACCTGGCATATGTGTTGGCCGGAGCCGAACCCAATGCACCGACTCATTCAGCACACATTGAGCACCTACTGGGCTGCATGCTGGGAAGATACACATGAATAAAACATCTTCCCACTTATTCAAGAGAAGGCAAAATAAAAATTGCCCCGTGATGGGATAGAATCTGCAATTAAAAAGAAGAGCATGTGCAAGTTTATTTATGTCCTATTACACAAGCTCCTCCATTCTCCACCCCCACCCCCACCCTCTCAATCTGTCGCATTCAGGGATCTGGGGCTCTGAGCATTTGCTTGAATTAAACCGAGTCAATGGCATGTCAGAGTTGGAAGGAGGAGGAATGGAGAAGGTGGAAGAATGAGATGGAGGGATAAGTTTAAAAGAGAGATGTTGGAAGTCAATGCACAAATGTCTCATCCTGGAGAGGAGACGAGGTCAGACAGACAGACCTGGAATGTTCTAGTGGGAACAATCATATTATTAATAACTGTGATAACGATGCATGTTACTGAGTGCTTCCAGTGCCAGGCACTGCTCTAAGCCTTAACACAGATGAGTATATTTAATTCTCCCAATCCCTCAAGGTGGCAGCTCCTATCATAAACCCCAAGTTAGACCTCAGAGGCTTAGCAGGGAAAAGTGACTTGACCACAGGCACCACTGCCAAGAGGCAGCCTCCTGCCTGGAGCCTGCACTTGTCCTGTGGCCTTCACACAGTTGCGTGTGACACTGTGGGCAGGTGAGGTCAGGGTGGGGTATACCATACCACCACAGCCGAGTGAGAGTTTAGAGCAGAAAGCATGAGGTCGGACTGGTGGAGTTTGAATCCTGGTCCACCATTCCTAACTCTGTGGCCTCGGCCATGGTCTTTCTATGTCTCGGTTTTCTTATAAATTAAATGAAGGTTGAGGATGGTGATGATGATACTACCTCCTGGAGTGGCTGTAAGGCTTTAACAAAATTCTGCACACACAGGGTTTAGTAGGGCCTGCCCAGATGAGCAAGATACATGGCAGGCATCCCTGAGGTCATGATTTGTCTGTAGGAGAGTTCCCCCTGCCATCATCCAGGCAGATGAGCTCAGGCTTCCAAGCTTCCATGCTCACAGATGAGGGGGCCAGCTCATGACAGACAGTGGGAACCACAGAGGGGGAAATGCTAATGAGAAGTGGCCCCACCCATGGAGCCTGTCCCCAGACTGATTGAGCATGTTGGGAAATGTGCCCAAGTGTGGCAGGACCTGACCCGTGGAAATGCCTTGGGCATGGGCAGCTGATGACTGGCCATGGGAATGCTGGAGGACATCACCTGATCTCTGCCTCCAAGCAGGGCACCATCTGGCTGGGGGCAGAAGACTCTTCACAAGGACCAATGAGTGGCCCAGGTGGGATCTTCCCAAGAGTCACCTGCAGTGTGTGGTCCCAGCCGTCGGAAAGCAGAGTGACCAGTGAGCCATGGGCTGGGAGCGGGTATGTGCAGAAGGCCAAGGGGCTGTGGGAGGTGGCGTGTGTGTGGGATGTTGCGACTCAGCCACTCAAGGACTAGCTGCAGGTCTGGCTTCCCCACCTTCATGAGGCCTCCACACTTTTGACCAGCCATTTCTGATTTTCTCTCCTTTTCCTCTTTTTGGTGAGGGGCAGGTCTGGTGTCATAAGTGAGGCATAGCCAAGACCAAGGTCTTCCTTTCCAGGGCTGTTCTGGGCTGGGCCAACTCTGCTGTTTGAATGTACAGGGCTCATTCTACAGTATGCCAGTAAATGTGCCCATGAAAAAGAAGACCTTTAGAGATGTGCTCATGCAGATGATTCTATCCCACCTGTCACAGAGGGAGGCACGGCAACCATCTGCTACATTCTCTATTCCCACCCCACCCCTTACATTTTTAACCACAGATTTTCACAGTTTGCCTTACTTATTTAAATCTGTTATTTAGAAAGACACATGTATGGCTAAGTAAGGAAACGGCAGCTTTTGCCCATTGAAGCCTGTTCTTCACATATTCTGTAGCTGGCTGGGGTCCCCTGAGAGACCCTTATATGTGCAAGCCTGGGTGTCCCTTAACCAGGCTGGATTTAGGACTGAATCCATTGTGGATTATCAAGTACTCTGTACTGGGCGGGAGGAGAGCTGACATTTAATGTGACTCGTCTTTCAGAGTAACAGCGAGACCCCAATCTCTCGGTCTCTACTGTGGGGGATGTAGATCCCTCCTTTAACCTGGGGACAATACTGTATGTCCAAATGCCATGCTCTTGAAGTCATGCTGCTCAGCCAGACCACTGATTCAGTTATTCAGCACCTACTGTATGCCATACATCATGTGCCAGGCACTGGCAATGCCTTGGGATGAGATGAAATCCCCACCCTCATGGAACTGACACTTTTGTGGGGAAAGAGCTAGAAAGCCCAACATGGACAAATTGTGCTAAGTGCCCTGAAAGGAACAAACTGTGACAGAGAATGGAGAATAGCAAAGAAGACCGGGGCAAGGAGGGTCCACAGAAGAGTGATGTGGAAGCTGGGCCCTAGCAGGAAGAACTCCACACTTGCAGAGGGAGGGTGAGTGCAGGTGGGGAGGAGAGGGAGCTTTACATATAGGAAGCAGGAGAAGAATCTGGCCCTGGGCCTCCTCCATACAGCCTACCTGAAAGCCCTGGGGTCTCCCTGGCCTTCTCTGTCTTTGCAGCTCCTTGGAATAGGAAGTACCAGGCCCTGTGCTTCTGTCCATGGAGAGCCTGGCCTGCCTGCTCATCCAGTAGTTCCAGGCTATGCCAGAGCCTGCACCTGGCCAGAGTCCCAAGGAGTTCTGAAGCCTCCCTCAGCCCACACAACTCCCGCCCCACCACACCCTGCTCAAGTTACGGAGCTTTCAGCCTTGTAGCCACCGCTGCCATCTCTTTGGGCCTCTGGTCACCTTGACACAGCCTCATCACTCTGATCATTTCTGCTGCAGCTACAAGGCACCACTCGCTGCCCTGCCGTGACTTCAGCCTTCAGCACACTGTCAGGAATATGCTACTGCCTATTCCCCTTCTTTCTGGTGACATCTGGTGACTTCTTTGAGATCTCTTCAAATGCTGCTCCCTTCTGCACCCCCTCTCCCACGCTTTCCTGCCTCCTTCCCCTCTGTTCCTGGCATTTCACTGTAAGGCTTACTTACCCCATCATTAGCTATTTGAGTCTCTCCCCAGCTTCCCA